GTCTTCATGGTTTTCCATTTTCTCCTAGCTACCTCAATAGTTAGCTTTTGGGATAGGGTTCCATTGGGCATCTCATACCACTCAATATGACTACTAACTTCGTGCAGTCTACTCCTTTGAGTACTTCTCTGGACCTATACATTTTTCAAGGATGGTCCTTTAATTGGCTTAAATAGGAATACAATTAGGTCAGGAGTTTTTGCGCAATCCTCAGATAAACGCCTCTCCACACAATATTGCAGAATAATTCTCTCCAATGCGGAATGCTCAAAACGCATGGAGGACTCTAGCATCTTATCCTCATTTTCCACCAAATTAGATGTTCCTCCCATGTCCCTTGTTCCATAAAAGCATTCATCTCCAGCAACTAGCTTCCAATATTGGTGCTGACTTTTAGAGCTAATCTATTATTCTAGTGACCATAAGCTTTTTGGCATTCTGAATGCCTAATCATTGTAATGAGCCTCCTTCTTCTCTGACATGTATGTCTGTGTGTGGTTTCTAAACTCATAATATCTTCTGTGAACTTGAAAACTTTGAATCTGCTCATGATGTGTTAACTAATTCACATTGCTCCAGGGAATGAGGAAAAATTCCAAATTTTGGCGGTGCTGAAAAGTCTCTAGTTTTCTCCACAATTACAAAACACTAAGCTTAAATCTATGAGTGGATGATTATTAGAACCCAAAGCAGAGAAATAAAAATAGTTCTTGAAAGGCTGAAGAATCTTAGAATCTGAACATGAAGCAAAAGCAGTTACACTTACAGCCCTTTCTGGCATGCCGTTAGAAACTTGAAAATGAGTGAAGGTCCAGGGTATGCATTGATTTCTTCTTGCAATCTCTCTTCCATCTCATGGCATCTGTCACATGAAGTTTGATCTTTCCATTGCCCTTTATAGTGCTTGTGTATTTTTCCTCCATCCTCAACCCCCACCCGATTTTTCCCCCCCCCCCCTTTAATAAAGCCATAAGATGAAGACGGCCAGTCATGTTGGCATGTCATAATTTGTCTCTCTTCTTACTGGCAACATAATAAACAATTCCGGAACTTGTCCATTTTCAGTAATATACACTCTTTTATGAGATTTATCTGTTTTTATTTATTTATCATTTTTTTATGTGATTATGTTCCATCCCAGTACTGCAAATACATCAGTGCCAGCTTCCTGTTTATGACCATCTATTTTAATTAAAGGACATTGAATTAGGAAACCTCCATAAACATCGCCATCCATATATGACCATAATCTTTGAAGATGGAGAGATTCCCATTTTCTTTAAAGCCATAGTTGTTGGCACTGCTACGCATTCAAATTCTTTGAATACACATTATTTACTCATAGAAACAACCCCTCCCACAGACATGAGATCCATATATGATGCTCATGCCCATGGTATGCCTAGTTGGAAATCACATTTCTAGTTGAGAGGGAGGAGACACTGCCAAGGAATTTGAATCTGCGGCACGTGGATTCTTGTGATTCCCAACCCAAAAACTGATGAATGAGTTAGTAGGTTTGCTGTGAGGGAGGCACTGAACAAACAATGCCAATGAAAGTACAGAGAATCATGTTAATATGATATTACGTCATGCCCACATGTGGAGAGAAAAATATTCTTCTTGTCTCCCTCTATTCTTTGGCTATAAAAGAAGAAGATGCTCAACTTTGAAACTCACAAGTTTAGAAGAAATTACATTTCTCATTTCCAAGTCTTCTAAGAAAAGAAAATGGCAGCCATTTCTCATATACGCTCTAATAGCTTTCCCTCTGCACCTCACCCCTTTGTATCACAATTTGAGGAGCACCTGAACAGATTAAAGTCTTCTGATTCTGCCTCTTCTTCATCCTCTTTAAGCCACAAACTCAGTGGCTTGCAGGATTTACAGGACTCTTCTGACAAGTTGCTTCAATTGTCAACCACCCAACAGGTCTTAGCACGAGATTTAAGTCAAAAATGGGTTGATGAACTACTAGATGGGTCTCTAAGGCTCTTGGATATCTGTTGTACTGCTAAAGATTGTCTTGTGCAGTCAAAGGAGTCTGTACGCGAAGTTCAGTCAGTAGTTAGAAGAAGAGGAGCTGAAGCTGCATTCACTACTGCGGTTGGAAATTATTTGGCTTCCAGGAAGAATGTGAAGAAAGCAATTAGAAATGCCTCAGGGAATCTCAAAGGAATAAGAAACCAATTTACAGTTTCTTCTGAAGCCAAAGAAAATGAGATGCTTAGCATGTTGAAAGAAGCAGAAGCAATCACCGTGAGCACATTAGAATCTTTATTGTACTTCATCTCCAATCCAAAGGGACAATCAAAACAAACCAGCTGGTCTGCAATTTCCAAGTTGATGAAGCCAAAAAGAGTAGCTTGTGACTCGCAAGAAATAATCATAAATGAATTTGAGAAGGTAGATTCAGCTTTGAAGTCTCTCATCAGTCAAAAGCATGCATCCACGAACAATTTTCAAGGCGATTTGGAAAATTTGGAGATGTGCATTCAAGATCTAGAAATAGGAATTGAATGCCTTTCAAGGAAACTTATCAGAGACAGAGTTTCCCTGCTCAACATCTTCAACAACTAGTTACACAAATTATTTAGGATAACCTTGGACACTCAAATTCAATTTTCTCCCAGGAGTCTCTCATACTTGTACATGAATGTGATTAATGATACAGTTCTTTTACTGATAAAAATGCTATTTTATTACTGAATATATATTATCTCAGGATCACACCATTGTTATTTGGTCATCCATCTTCTTTCTAACCTCAAAAAAGAAAAGAAAAAAAATCTCAGTTTTTCACTGTTTTTGTTCTCCGTTTAAGAATATGAGAATAATTATTATAACCTGGAAATTCAGCACAATTTTGGGAAATGTGAATTAGAAAGAAGACACTATGTCTTCATTTATTCAGTCTGAAAATATAACATTATTCCATATCTGGTTTTACTTTACAGACATAGTTTTATTTCTGTCACAAACTCAGACAGTAAAATCATAAAGGGTTAGCAAGAGCATTAGTCGAAGATAATAATTGGCAGCCATAGTTTTTCTTAAAACCGACACGTGCTTCTATCATTCAAGCCAACTCAAATGAAAGCAACTGGACAATATTTTATTGCTTTCACATGTAAGAGCAATTATCCCATATTTTTATTAGCTATAAGTGCAATAAACAACGTGGTGGTTATTTGAAACTACAACGACAAACCTATAAGTAACTAGTTATTTTCTTTGGTCAACTACCGACGTCCTACGTTAAGGGACATAAAGGTATAATTATTGCAAACGTGGGGTTGAATAGAAATATGAGATCTGAGTTGGATGTTCCTATAAAGACATTGTATTGACATTTCGGAGATTATTTGAAGATCAGATCTACATTCATTGAGCAACAGAAAGCAGTAAAATCCCAACGAAAGAGAAAAAATAGAATGGAAAGGAATATGAGGACTCTATAGGTTGCAAAATATGAATGTCCTCTCCCACTTGGCTTATTTTTACAGCCAAGCATATACTCTCAAATTAGCATCCTAGCATCAATTCTGTGACCTGTCTCAAGGTATCTTCAAGTTGCCTCTCCATAGTCTCTGAAGATAGTTTACTGACTCATTGTCGTCTTTATCAGACGAAGCTGGCTTCTTAATTCACTCACTCTTTAATCATCATGAATTTCAGTTTTTACCTCGGAATCAGCAAAATTTGACATTGAACTTGTGGTAATCATACGCAGCCGCGTTTGAAAACAGCTAATATGTTTTTGGAATAGAATTATGAGATGGATGAAGGGCAGAATGGGTCCAACATTAACACCTCATCCTCTGATTATCTGTCCCATTACCTTCAAAATAACAGAATTGGGACATGTTCAGTTTTCAAGTTTACATCTTTTTATGATTTTTTTTATTTCTTTATCTCTATATTAAAATGACTATATCTCATCAGGAGAGCGTCCACTGAACAGAGTACCTAACAGAGCCAACTTCTGGTTTGTCTTTTTAATTATTCATTCAACTCATCTTATGGATTCATTGCTCCTTAATTAATGGACAATGAATTGAGAAAACTGCATAATATAGCCATCCATATTTCACCAATGTTTGATTCCTATTTCCTGTAAACTACAGCTGTATGTATCTTCTAGGCATACAAGTTCATAGAACACAGATTATATTATGATAGAAACAACTCTTCCCGCAGACAGAAGATCAAATTTTGATGCCCACTCCAATTGCATATGCATTATTGTGATTCCCACATCAAAAACTAAGTAATGAGTTGGCCAATCTGGGGCAAGGGAAGCATTGGGAAAACAACGTAAAAGCAACTCTAAGAATCATATCAAGAAGATATCATTGCATGCTCACTTGGGGACATTTGAAAAAGAAAAATATTCTTTTTGTCTCCATCTTATCCTTGGATATATAAGGAGAAGATGCCTACCGCTGAAACACACCAGAGATCAGAACAAACTGTATATTCATCATTTTGTAGCCTCTATTTTCTGAGAAGATAAAATGGCATCCTCTGATTCAAGCTTAAAGAGCTCTCTACATATAAGATCTAACAGCTTGCCCTCTGCACCCCACCCTCTTGTATCACAATTTGAGGAGCATCTTAACCGATTGAAATCTTCTGAATCTGCTTCTTCTTCCTCTTCTTCATCTCAAAGCCACAAACTCAGTGGCTTACAGGATTTACATGACTGCATTGATAAGGTTCTTCAATTACCAACCACCCAACAAGACTTTGCAAGAGAGTTCAGCAGCAAAAACTTTGATGAACTACTTGATGGATCTGTAAGGCTCTTGGATGTATGTAGCATAGCCAAAGATTTCCTGCTTTAATCAAAGGAAAGCTTGCAAGAGCTTCAGTCAGTCATCCGTAGAAGAAGAGGTTCAAAAAATGGACTTGCGATTGCGGTTTGCGAATACTTGGCTTCTAGGAAGAAGATGAAGAAGGCAATTTGAAAGGTCTTGGGAAGTTTCAGAGGAAGAAAAATGGATCTCATAGTTTCCTCTTCAAACAAAGAAAATGACATGCTTAGCGTGCTAAATGAAGCAGAAGCAGTCACCATGAGCACATTAGAATCTTTGGTGTGCTTCATTTCTGGTACAAAGGGACACTTAAAACAGAACAGATGGTCAGCAATCTCCAAGCTGATGCAGCCAAAAAGAGTTTCTTGTGACTCTCAAGAAATTGGCACAAATGAATTTGAGAAGGTAGATGAAGCTTTGAAATCCCTCGTCAGTCAAAACAATCTCCAAGGCGATTTGGAAAATTTGGAGATGTGCATTCAAGATCTAGGAAGAGGAGTTGAATGCCTTTCAAGAAAACTTATTAGAACTAGAGTTTCTCTTCTCAACATCTTCAACAACTAGTTACACAAAATATTTAGGACAATCTTGGACATTCAAATTCAATTTTCCCCATGAGTGTCTCACACTTGTACATAAATGTGATTAATGATACTTTCCTTTTGCTGAGTATATGTTTTTCTTCTTTCCAGCTTTGCCAATGTCAGTTTTTCAAATGGATCTAATATGGGTCAGCGATCAGAACGTATATAGATAGAACCTATAATAGGGTCTTGAATTTTTGTCCCCTGTTAGTGAGGGGGGGGGGGATGTTGGGATTAATTTGAGTTAGAAAGGAGAATAATCTCAATTTTCTTGGTCAACCTGCTTCTTAAAGTAAATGAAAAGGAACGGTAGAGGATTATTCTGTTGTCTCATTCAATCTACCAAGTAACCATCCTATTGCTAGGTTTCTGCGTCAAATAAATTCTATTTTATTTTTAAGAGAGAAAGGAAACAAAACGAAGGACAAAGGAGGATGAGTAAAACATAATATTTAGTATGTTCAGCAAACCCACTTTTGTACCACCCATGGGATTCAAAGTTTGAATCTTAATCACATCTGCCAGCCTTGCAATTGTCATTAGGTTGATAATTAAATAATGATCATGAAAACTTTATAACTAATCCCAACTACTAACTAAAGTTTAATATGAGAAACTAAAGTCAGAAGATAACCTTTTCCTCCTACCAAATTACCACAATAATTGAAAATAAAATAGTCCTAAACCCATGCATTATGTTCAATTATTCCAGTCAATTTGAATCCTTATCTGATTTGTCAATATAACAAATCCTGCCAAGTTGATTAAACAATCAGAACAACTATAATTGCCTGCACATGCATGGATAATTGATTCAAGTTCTATCCTATGAGTGTGCAATGAACAACGTGCTTTTTAGTTTGCTTTAATTTCTAGTTAAGTGAAAGCCATATAAGTCAGTCCATACTCAACATATTAGTTATGAGTTAAGTCACGCTTATATGAAACCTCTACTTGCAGGAGATTAATTTATATAAGCATGACATTACCTAGCAATGAAGCAAGATATGGCAAGGTCACTTATGATCTGGATTATTTGAAAATACAAATGTAATTTTCTGTAATGGGATTAAAAAAAAATAAAATCTGAGCTGTAATGTTATTTTACCGGAGACGCTGCATTAAAAATTTAAAATTTCTGATGTAATGTTGGATCTGAATCTAAACCTATAAGCAGTCGCCAAGATGAGTTAAGATCAGATTCCTTTTGTTCATCTCCCAAACTCTAATGTACAGAGATTCTCAAATTTACGATGAAGTGCTTGGAGTTTTACAGAGTTTACTTTGTGAGAGCTAAAACTCAGTTTTCAAAATCTGCCGTGCCTCGTTAGAAGTCGCTGCGGAAGCGATTCTAGAAAAAGGAAAAGGTTGTCATACATGACTTGTAGAAGGAAAAATAAAGCCTTTGCATCTTGCTTCTTAGTTTCCTTCAATCGTTGTTGGTTGTCTTCAACCAAATCCCATAGGTCTTGAGATGGTAAGAGAGTCTTCATTTTGATAGACCAAAACTCGTATTTATCTCCATTTAAAATAGAAATTAATGGTTGAGGTCATAGAAACCCCACTGATTCTCAAGGAAATTCTATTGGTCACCGTATATGGTCGTAGTGAAAGACATTCAGTTGACTATACTGCCAGGAAGGGGGGGGGGGATTTTTTTGGTGTTTGTGATCAAAGTATTACTTTTTGCATAATTGTTTTTTCGTCATCAATAATTATAATTTTTCCCATTTTTATAATAAAAGTATTTAATATATCAAATTTATACATGTGTTATTTACTATGAAGAAATAAAATAAGTTAATTAATAAATTGTTATGAATATAATATCTTTATAGATGTTTATATATCCATCATTATCTTCCTTATCTCTCAATATTTTCAATATCTCCTATTATCCCCGTTATAATTTCTACTTTATGACCAGAAACTATAAAAACTTTGTTATCATTTCTTATAATCAGAAGACACAAAATTTTATTTTTTGTTTTATGACCAAAAATTATAACATTTTATTTTTTATTTTATGGCCAGAAGTCATAAAAAAACTTTCTTATAACTTTAATTTTTCTATTTTAATAACCAAAAATCATAATTTTGACTTTCTAACATATGACTAGAAGCCATATAATTTTTAACTCATGACCAGAAGTCATTTAAATTTGATTTTATCTCATTAAATGGCTAGAAGCGATGTATATATTTATTTTTGAGAAATATTTATTGTTTATTTGTTAATTTTTTTTAAATGCTTATATCCATGGAGACAATATATCAAATTTTGTCCCTTTCTCATTTAATTTTCTTTTCATTTGTTTCCTTTTGGTAATTTATGATTCTTTTTCTTCTCATTAACGAAGAGCATTGTAATTTGCATACATGCCAATTTTTTTAATATTATATTCTTTTGTGATAGTGTTATCATGTCAAACCTTACAAAAATTGAGTCTGTGGCTCTTGACATCACTGGAAAGAACTATTTATCTTGGATATTAGATGTGGAAATTTACCTAAATGCCAATGGTCTGGGAGACATAATTAAGGAAGAAAATAAGGCATCTAATCAAGAAAAGGCTAAAGTCATGATCTTTTTATGCCATCATTTGTATGAAGGACTAAAACATGAAATATTTGACCACTAAATACCCACTCGTTCTTTGGAACAGTTTGAAAGAAACGTATGACTACCAGAAAACTGTCATTCTCCCAAAAACTCGTTATGAATGAATGTACTTGTGCCTACCATATTTTAAATATGTTAGTGAGTATAATTCTGTGATATTTAGAATCAATTCTCAACTAAAATTATGTGGAGAAAAAGTCACTAATGAAGACATGTTAGAGAAAACATTCTCCACATTTCATGCATCCAATGTACTCTTGCAGCAGCAATATCATGAAAAAGGCTTCAAAAAGTATTCTGAACTAATTTCTTGCCTTCTTGTAGTCGAGCAAAATAATGAGTTTTTAATCAAAAATCATGAATCTCGTCCAATTAGGTCCACTACATTCCCATAAGCGAATGTAGTAGTAAATGGACCAACACGCAGTCATAGGGTGAGGACATAGACGTGCACATGGCCATCGCATTAACCATGGACGTGGTCGTGATCGTAATCGGGATAGTTCAAATTCCTACTCAAAGAGAGCAAAGAATGATGAGAATCACAAAAGAAAGACTAGTGGAAGTAATAACCACTCTGAAGATTCGTGTTATCATTGTGGTGGAAATGATCATTGGTCACATACCTATCGTACATCGAAACATTGGGTTGAACTTTGTCAAGAATCACTTAAAAATAAAAGTAAAGGCAATAGCATAATGCTAAGGATAGAAACCAATTTTGTTGATGAAGAGGGCGATTCTGATTATGGCAAGATGGATGTCACTTATTTGGATATTGCTGATTTCTTTGCTAATCTTAATAGAAAGATTGATCTTTAGTGAAGTTAAATTTCTATGACTTGGTTTTTTTTTTTTCCTTTTTCATCTTCTTTTATAAAGTTTCTACTTTCAATGATGTTATCTTTCCAGATTAATAAAATTATGAGTATTTTCCTTTTATTAATTTTGTTTTCTTCCCTTCCCCTCTCTTGACTATGTTCCTTGTAACGAAAAATGGTTCCTATTGACATCAATCATGAAGATTTATGTCTTACTGATAGTGTAACAAATCATACAATACTTAGAAATAAAAAGTATTTCTCGTCTTTGGTAATGTAAGAAGCCAACATTCAGACTATATCTGGAAGTGCAAAACTAATTGAAGGCTATGGAAGAGCTAATATATTGTTATCTGGAGGAACAATATTATATATTGATAGTGTATTTTACTCAACTAAGTCTAAAAGAAATTTGTTGAGTTTCAAGGATATCTGCAAGAATAGATACCATATCAAAACAATAATTGAGGAAAATCAAGAATATCTTGCTATTACAAAATCAACCTCTAGTAAAAAAATACATACTAGAAAGATTGCCTGTATTTTTTTTTTGGTTTGTACTACATAATTATTAGTACAATTGAAGTACATATCATTATAAACCAGCAATTTATAAATGATACTCCCTCCGTTCCTTATTATAAGAGACAAATAACCGAAATACGTTGATAAAAAAAACAGTTAAAATTAGTTAAGAACAATTAATGTGTAAAAAGTATAATTTTTTTCCAAAAATGCCCTCATTAATAAGGAGAGAGAGCATGAGAGAGAACAATTAAATTATTAAAAGAAAGAAAAGTGAGAGGGAGGGAGAGTGTGAGTTGGAGATAATAAATATGGGTAAAACAGTAAATCAACACAAAAAAGTAGAGACAACTTGTAAATGTCTTTTATATATAGGAACATGCCATAAGCATCAAATGTCTCTTATAATAAGGAACGGAGGGAGTAACAAATTTAATGTTTGATATGATCGGTTAGACCATCCCGTGACAATTATAATGCAAAAAATAATTGAGAATTCATGTGGACATTCATTGAAAAGTCAACAAACCACAATCCAATGTTTTATCATATAATGCATGTTCCAAGGGAAAGTTAATTGGTCGGCCATCACTAGGAAAACTAGAAAGTGAGCCTCTTACTTTTCTAGAACTCATACAGAGAGATATTTATGGACCAATACACCCACTATGCAGACCATTTCGATATTTTATGGGTCTAATTGATATATCAACAAGATGATTGCATGTCTGTTTATTATCTTCGTGTAACCTGGTATTCACAAGATTATTGGTTCAATTAATTAGATTAAAAGCACATTTCCTTGATTTTCCTATTAAGAAAATACGTTTTGATAATGCTGGTGAATTTACTTCACAAGCTTTTAATGAATATCGTATGTTTCTTGAAATTGATGTTGAACATCTTGTGGCTCATGTACACAAACAAAATGGACTTGCAGAATCATTGATCAAATGTTTATAATTAATTGCAAGACCATTACTTATGAGATCAAATCTCTCAATTTTTGCT